AGATGCGGGTGGGCGTAGCCACCATCCCATGCGGGAGCCAAACCGGCAGCCTTGTTGTTAAGGGTGCACGCTCTATCCCCTGAGCCATCCGGGCAGCAGCTCAGCTCAAGGTGCTGAGTTGTCTTAGTTGTGGGCGGGTATAGCCACCATCCCATGCGGTAGTCGAACAGGCAACCCTGTTAAGAGCATGTGCTCTCACCAGCTGAGCCATCCTGCCACCTGTTGGCAGCTCAGCGAGAGCTCAGCTCTGGCACAGTGTCACTGGCCCATGTGGGAATAGAACTAGTGGCCCCGTTGCTCAGAGCTCACGCTCTAAAGCCAACTCTTAACCCACTGAGCCACTCTGCCGGCCCTCTTAGAGTTCTCTAGTGAACGTTAATGAGGCGTGCTCCCTGGAACTGTTTTTGCAGCCCCCTTTGTCAAGCCTGAGTTTTAGTTCAGTTGTTCTGCTGTGTCTGAGAGACAGCAGTGTGTAGAAGGGCATTGACAGCTTGGATCCTGGACCTTGTAGCTCAAATTGAGACACCCTCCTAATAGTCCATTTAATTCCTGCAGTGTCTCCGGAGTCATCGTCTGTTCCCCACCGGAGGCAGCTTCTCAAATAGTGATGGCTGCTCTGCGAGCAGGTAAGGGCTGGCGTTCATCCTGTCCACCCTTGGTCACACCTGTAGTTTGCAGTGGGCAAAACCTGTCTGCTGAGGTGGGTGGGGGTGTACACAAAAACGAGAATCTTGAAAATCCGGGAGGCTCCCAGGTACCTGCTACCTGGTTAGCATTTCATACAGCGTATTCTTTAATTGGCGTTGTATTGGGGAAGGGAAAGGTTTTGTTGTCAGTACTTTGGGGGGGAAATGAGGTGATTGAGACAAGATCATGAAGTACGTGGCAACGTGCCCTGAGAGTCTGACGTCTCCCCACCACGTAGTGTGCGTGTGACCATTTTTTTCTAGTTGTGTTCAGATGCACAGAACACAATTCACCATCTAACTGTTGTTAAGGGCCAGTTCAGGGGCGATAGATTAGGTACGTTCACACCATTGTGCAGCCGTCCGCACCATCATCTGAACGCCTTCCATCTTCCCACACTGAGACTGTCCCCATGAAACACTCACTCTCCAGCCCCTCCCCCAGCGCCTGGCCCCCACCTTCTGTGTTTTCACAAAGCCCACTCCTCCAGGCACTTCACATCGGGGGAATCAGAGTATTTAGCTCCTTGTGTCTGGCTTATTTCTCTCGCACAGTGTCCTTAGGGTCCGTCCATGATGTAGCGTGTGTGAGAAGTTCCTTCATTCTTGAGAATATTCCGTCGTGTGGCTGGACCATGTCTAGTTTTCCATCCATTTGTCAGTAGACACTTGGGTTGCTTCCACTTTGGGGCTTTTGTGAGTGATGCTGCTGTGAACATGGGGGTCTTCAAGGCTCCCAGTCACTCTGATCTTTGTGTCACTCAGGTGAGTGTGGGAAGCAGAAGCCACGCAGGTATTTTATGCAGCGGGGACTTGGTGTAGAGAGCCGTCATCAGGAGGCCTGGAGATGGGGCTCTAGGCTCAGTGACCTCAGGACTCACCCCTGCCTCATCCAGGAAGGTGGAGACAGGAGGCCGCCCTGGGGCTGGTGGGTGTGAGAGCCGTGATGGCACACCGATGACAGGACACTGAGATACTGTTGAAATAACTCCTTTATCCACGGAATTGCCTTTGCGTTTTGTCAACACGGCATCTGTTCTTTTGATCAGCTCGTCTCCTCTCACCAGCACCACGTGTCCGGGTACTGGAGCCATCTAGTGAGCTGAAGCAAGGTGGCAGCCCAAGTCCTTCGACTGTCAACTTGCAACGTACTTCTGATCCTTCTAGACCCTTCACCTTTTCCATATAAAGTTTAGAGTCGCCTCGTTGGTTCCTACAGCAGATGCCCTGCTGGACTCTGGGTGGAACTGCATGGACTCTGCCTCGGTCTCAAGACAGTTGACATCTCAGTAGAGCTCTGCATTTTGGAGGTCGTCTTTGACTTCTTTTATTATGTTGGCTTTTTTTAAAATTATGTTTTATACTTTTTAGAATCCAGATCTTAGTGTGTTTTGTGAGGGGTTTTTGGGTGCTGTTGTAAATGGTACTCTAAAACTTTTCGGTCATTTCCATTGCTCCTTGCCAGTCTGGGGAAACACTGGTTCGCGTATACTGACGTCGCCTTCTGTGACCTCACTAAGCTCGCTTGTTAATCCCCTCCGCTTGGTTATTGACTCTGATTCTCTACTGTTGCTTGCGACTAGACAGTTTTCTTTCTTTCTGACCGGTCGCTATGCCTTTCTTTTTCTTGCCTAATTGCATTGGCAAGGACCTGTCACACGGTGTAGAATAGGAGTGATATGAACTTTGTTTTGTTCCCAGGCTTAGAGTGGAAGCATCCCATCTTACGAGTGTGGTGCCCGCTGTAAGTTCTAGCAGTTTGAGAAATTTGCCTCGTTTCCACTTGGCTGAGAGGTTTTGTCATGAATGGACATGGAGTTATGTCAAATGTTTTTTCGCACCTACTGGGATGTTGAGTGGTTCTCTTCCGGTGTTGAACCAGCCTTGCATTCCTGGGATGAGCTCACTTGGTCATTATGTATTGTCCTTTTTTTTTTTTTTTTTACGTATTATCCTTTTTTTTTATACTGTTGCATTCCACTTGCTAAGTTCTTAACTATTTTTGTGTCTATGTTCATGAGAGGTACTTGTAGGTTTGTAATGTCTTCCTCTGGTTTGGGGCTCACACTCTTAGCTCTCTAGGATGTGCACACACACAGACCTAGCTCCAGTTTGTCAACCCTTGCTGCTTAAGGTAGACGCCAAGGTCATCTTCAGCAGAGTATTCCAGTATTCCACAGAAGAGGCCTAGCTTCAGTCTTAGCCATACCCTTTTCATTCAGGAACTGCAGGCTGACAGTTACCTGTGCAAAGCAGGTTTGGAAATGCTCCAGGGGTCCTGCCTGAAGGCTTCAGATAGGTCCGCGTCGCATGATATGTAAATTGCTTGACATTGATTCTCCCAGAAGTGCTACCTCTTCTGGGGACTGCTGTCTTGGCCATTTGGGACAGAAGGCTTAACTAAAAACGGGCACTGTGATTCTCAAGCTGGGGTATTCTATGAGATCTGGGAGTTCTCCGTAAACATTTCCTAATTCAGCATCTACATTTTGGTGATCTAAAGGATATTAGACATGTTTGGTCATTTGTCGGGGCCACATAGACTCGAGCCACTCTGCTGGGGTCCCGTCCTAGCTTGACCACCTGCGAGCTGCATGACCCTGGGCGCCTTTCTCACCCTCTGCCACGCACGTTCCAGGAAAGGAAGCCAGTCCATGTGTTAACAACAGCCAGGTCACAGGCAGCTCGCAGACATCAGCTCTTGTCACTGCTCCCATCAGCCAGTAATGCCACGTAATTTCAGTGACCAGCCTGTCGTGTCCGTCAACGTGTTGGCATGAAGGCATAGTCTTGACTTGTCTTGGGAGTGTGTTGGGAGTGACACTCAGACCCAGGGAAGCATCTGTAGCGCTTTGAACAGAGAAAAGTGACACGGACTCTGTGTCCACACGTCACATGGAAACCTGCATGGAGGTTTGCCTCTTCAACAAAGCGTCTGCACATCAATAAATGTTTACTTGAATTTAGTTGGTCTTGTGATTATACATGTAGCTTGTACTTTAGTTTTGGTTAATAGTTAATAAGAGGAATTAATGCCTTGTTTTACATTATATGTGTTATATTTGGAATAGTGTGAGTCAACGCTGGGCGTCTGTGAGAATTGGTTTTTCTGTAAAACGTGTCTGTGTCTCATTCAGGCTTGAGAAATACTGATAGAAATTGTATCTGTATTTGTAAAGTTTGAGATGGATGTGTTTTTTTCCTGCCATGTGCCGTCCTGTTAAAGCAGTGTGTCTGTCCTACTCCTTTTGTCACCAGAAATAAGGCTCTGGGTGACAGCTACCAGGCCTCAGGGCAGTGTGTGGTCGTAGAGAAAAACGAGGTTGGGATTTCCAGTCACTGTCTGTGCCGTGACCTCTGGGTGTCCTTACGATTTTCAGGGAAGGGCGTGCTCTGTGAGGGACTGCCTGGCTTGGACAGGCAGACTGCTGCGTCCTGCTTCGATGAGGCTGACAGACGCGGCAGGCCTCTGGTCTGTGGATTTTACAAGTAAGAGCAGCCTCCTAGCGATCACAAGATTTCTAATTAAAATTCTGTGAAATACTCAGGGCGCTTTTTTTTAAAAAAGCTAACATGCAATCTCTAAATGCGATTCTCATTTCCAGAAGTGATAAATAGGTACTATTTTCATTGGCTTTTTGTGTGACTATTATTTGCTCTAAAGAGACCCGATAGCAGTAGGGTGTCACACGGGAAAAGCAGACTTCGTAGGAAGTCCGGCGAGGTTCTGACTGGCTCTGTCAGCCACCAGTTCTGTGGCTTTGAGCTGCCATGTGACCTCCCGGGGTCTGTTTGTCTTCTTACAAGGCAGACAGTATGGACCCCATTATTGCTCATTGACCAGAGTTCAGTGAATGGCTCCTGGTCACTGAGGAATAAGACAGAATGGCGTTTGCCCATGAGCTTCCTATCTGGAGAGAGGGACAGCTCAGAACAGGTCAGCAGCCAAATATTGAACCACAAAAACTGCACGATGTGTGAAGTGTTGGGATGCAAACAAGGGTAGGATAGAAGCTTCAGCAAAGTGTCTGGGATGCTGCCTGCTGCCTCACATACGCCCTGGAACCAGCTGCTGTTATTAGCATCCAATTTTCATGCCTTAAAAGGGTTTTGAGGGATGTGGCCCAAGAGAGACTGGCGTTGACTTTGCCCTCGGAGCTCGGCTGGCCAGCCGTGCCGAGGTACTTGGGCTGTGGGCGGGGCTGTCTGTTTCTTTCTTCTCCTGCAGGCGCTTTGACCCTGCCGTCCAGTTCTTACACAAGAAGGTCTGTGACGGCCATACCCTGGGGCGGCTCCATCGGGTCACTGTCATCAGCAGCGTGTACCCCGCAGCTTCTCCTGGTCTCCTGAGGAAGTCAGGTGGGGGACCCCGTGGTGGAGATGCCCTCGCCTCCCTCTGAGCAGGGAGCCTATGGGGATGCCTGGCGCGTCCCTCCAGGCAGATGCCAGCGTGCGCTCCCGTCCATCCAGGTGGGGTTTTCTACAGCGTGGCCGTGCACGACGTGGACATCGTCAGCACGCTGCTGGGGGAGCGCACTCCGGACACGGTGTTCACCCTGGGGAGCGCCCTCTGCCAGGGTGAGACGGGTTTTCTTTCTGGGTCTCCTACCGCCACCTGAGCAGAACATGGCCCGGCTGGCACTGCAGGGCTCTGCCCAGCCTCCCTCCGTGCTCCTGAGGCCTAACGTCTGTGGCGCTGGTGCCCGGATGACCCCGCCTCTGCAGCCAGGCGGAAGGGTGGGGACAGCAAGGGGCCCTCGGGGACTGTGGACTCCCTCCTTCCGTACTCCCCCCCCACACACACTCGGCTTCCTCAGGTCCCCACTGACCACGTGTGGCTAACTCAAGTCCAGGCCTCCCACTTGGCCATCAGAGCTCAGCAAGGGGCCCTTCATTCCTCCCTGGAGGGACACTGCCAGAGCGTGCCCCAGCTGGTGGTCCCTCCCCCATCTCCGTTCTGGTCCCCAGGTCTCCACGTGGAGGGATAGTGGGCCACGTGCATCCTGGGTAATCCCATCAGAACCCTCCTTGCCCTCAGCCAGCACTGCTGACCGCCCATGTCCGCACCATTCCCCTGACCCCCACTGGGCATCTCCATGTGGACAGCGGGCACTTAACATGCCCAAAGCGACCTCCCGCCCCGCCCCGGCCGATAGCCCTCCTTCCCGCATTCTCTCGGGCCACAGCCTGCCGCCCCCTCTGGCTCCTGTCCCCCCGCCTCCCGTTGTGGGCAGCTCATGCCGGCACCATCAGCTCCTGCTCAGAGCTCATCCGCCACCCCCACCCTGCTGGGCGCCCCTGGTCCTGGCTGGCCTGTCACCACAGCCTCTGCCTGGTCCCCCCCGCAGCCTCCTCCCCGCATAGCGGCCATGCAGGTCAGACCAGGTCCCCCTCCGTTCCAAACCCTCCAGGAGTCCTCACCGACTCACCAGGTGCTGCGGGAGTGATAACTCCCCTAAAACAAAGAAAACTTTTTGATTGATTGACCAGCCATAACTCCCTTTTTTCTCTCACTTTTCTGTTTGCTGTAAAGTTCTACACTGTATTTTTAAAGAAAATGTACATGCCTTTTTGGGGTATCAGAAGTTTTTTTTCTTCTTTTCAATTTGCCTGAGTTAACGTTTCAGTAGCATCTGCAATGCCCTTCCACCTAGATGTGGCCTCCTTAAAAGACGCAGATACCGTTGTGATCAGCATGAAATTTCCTAGCGGGGCTATTGTCAGCTTGGACATCAGCCAGCACTGCACGAAAAGCTGCGACCAGAGACTGGAGGTAACTGCCTGCTGCCCTTCCTCGTCCCCACTCCAGCCAGTGTGAGCCGTGAAACAGCCTCGTTCTGACGGGTTAGAGACGCCCTGGTGTGGCCTGGCTTCACTCGATTCAGTGCACGTGGCGGGCGGGGAGTGGGGCGGGGGGTGGCACCGTGTACAGTAGGCACTCAATAAATACTGCCCACTTTTATGAAGGACTTTTGAACTTTCCTGGTGAGAGCCACGTACTTTGATGACTGAGCTCCATTCTTTGGTCTCAGTAACGCTTTAGGAAATTGTCTTCCTGAAGCAGATTCCTTGATGCCAGTTGTCATTTCAGAGACACCCACGGTCACAGTGCGCCACGACACAGCGTCAAAGCAGTCCTGGAAAATAGGGTGTTGTGTGTCCCCCGTTACATGGAGAATAGGGTGTCTCATGCCCCCATTACAAGTTCTCGCCACGTGGGCTGTTCGCAGTCACGGCCCTCTCAGCTCTGTCTGACGACTTCCTAGGTGCACGGCTCTCAAGGCTCCCTGCGGCTGGACAACCAGAAGCCCCTGGGCATCTCCAGCCAGGGCCCTGCCCTCTCCCTGGTCACCCAGACCCAGGCTGAGCGCTACCAGGAGGCGTACCGCCAGCTCTTCAGACACTTTCTCAGGACCCTTCAAGGTTGGTGACGTGCTTGGGAAGAACTCTGGTTTCCTTGGCTTGCCTAGAATATTTCCTTTCAAGTTAGAGTCAGTGCCGTGGATGTGTCACTGTTGGGGTACAAGTTGCATTCCAGCTGTGTCAGAGGTGTTTTGAGTGTCACTTACGTTGCACATGCTTTAGAAACAGTCTAATGGGCGTCACTTCAGGCTAGATGATGGTACTGTGTTGCCTGAGCTGGTGTGAGAAATGTCTTTAGTTCTGACGTCTGTACAATGCCGGTTACTTCTGAATTCCTGGGAGCTGGGGAATTTCGCGTGGCCCTAGAGAGGTGGCTGGGATGGGAGATGGCCAGTGGCCCCCTGGGGACCAGCCCTGCAGGCCTGTGGCCTGTCCACATCCCCACCACAAGGGCAGTGTCTTGGGCTCTGGTGGGGGTCTCGTTTTTTGCCCTAAATCTGTGCAAACACTCTGTGTCCAGGGAAAGAGCCCCCCGCAGTCAGCAGAGAGCAGCTGCTCGGGGCCCTTCGGGTGGCCACCGCCGCCGAGCGATCCTGGTGGAGCCGGGCGGCCGTGGACCTGCGCCATGAAGCAGGCGAGGCCCCTGTGGTCAAGACGGAAGCACCGTGAGCCCCGACCGGCTCGCACCCATGACCTGCCTGAGATCTGACGGCCCGGCCCCATCTGCCTGTTACTGAGAGATGTGACATTGTCTTCCCCCAAGTGTTTCATTACTGGTGGGACAACTTGTTACGGGTGACATCAGAGCCAGGAGGCAGGTTGCCGTTTCTTTTCTGATTTGAACTTCGGCTTGGAGAGGGAGGGGATCCCCCCTGGTTGCAGCCTCCTTGGCAGGGTGCCTCGGAAGAACGCGGGTCAGGAATTGGACCAGAGCTGCAGTCGGTCTCCCAGGGTTTGGCTTCTCCATGTGTCAGGAGAGTGGGAGGCCAGTCCAGATGTTAGGCTGTCGCGTGCGCAAAGCAGGCTGCAGGTTCCGTTGGGCCTTTTTGGGCAGTTATAACAGTATTTCAAAACCAAACCGTTTTCTTGAAGAATCTGTGACTTTTTTGCACAATGGTATTATGTAACACCCCTCCTAAAAATAGGATAAAATCCCGTAGAATGTGATATTACACCACTTGAAAATTCTTGCCTGAATGTAGTGTTTCTCTTTGGATGTCCGTGGGAATCAGCTGACCGGCTCCTCCCAAGGGGCGTGAGAGCGTTTCAGAAACAGGCTGCCCTTCTCGGTAGGAGTTTCGTCCGCTGGAGGTGGGCAGCGCCTTGCCGAGGGGCAGATGTGCTCTTATCCCAGGTTATCTTTTTATAGTTACATGTCAAATCTGTTGGAGATGCTTTTATATATATTTGAAAATAATTGTATTTCTTGTAACCTACTTTAAAAACAATTTTTTTAATAAAGCTCTTAAAATCCCCCTTGTGCCCAAAGCACTAGCTTTATGGTGACCATGCCCCAGAGGGCCTTTTTAGGGTCCCTGATTGTACACGGTACGTGGCAGTGTCTTTCTCATTGAACGCCCCGAGTCTGTTTCCCACCCAGTTCTGAAGTGTTGGCATGTTTGATTCGAATTTTTGTCGCTGTGATGGGATGGGGGCACGTCTGGCTTAGCCCTCCCAGTGGGCCTTGAGGACGCGTGACAGTTCTGGGGAGAGGGATGTGCTAAGGGGTGTGCGTGAGTGGCTCAGAAAGCTGGGGCCAGCCAGAGCCCCGCCTGGCGCCTCCTGGCCCCGCCTGGCGCCTCCTGGCCCCGCCTGGCGCCTCCTGGCCTCGCCTGGTGCCTCCTGGCCTCGCCTGGTGCCCCCTTGCCCGCTGACTGGCTGCTGGTGGCCCAGTGGGGTGCTCCCCCCACCCCTGCCTGAGCACGCATCAGAGGAACCTGGACTTGGCTTCTCATCTTCATCCCTGTTACCTTGTTCTGCTTAGTTTCAGCCCAATATCTAAAAAGACTCGGCCTCCCTCTTGGATGGATGGATTTTGAGAGCCGTTTGTGCTGTGACCGGTCCCTAGTCCCTTGTCCGCATCTCTGAAATCCAGAACAGACATGAAGCCCATGCGGCTTCGAGCCTGAGCTGAGCTGACACGAGCTCCCTGCTGTCTTTCATTTTCCTAAGTTTTGTGAGGAACATGAACGTGCTCGACTCCACACGCCTGGGACGGACGCCCTGTGTGACCTTTCTAACGCCGAGACCTGGTGGGTCTCATGGGGCTTGGAAGAGGGTTTGTGGGCCTGCCTTCTAGGAGGCCTGTGATGGCCGAGGTCAAGGCCGAGGTCAGTCCTGTGAGGTCAGCCGGCTCTGCCGGGACAGCACCTCGTGTCTTGCCCCAGGTCCTGTGACTTGAGTCAGCACTGAGCACACAGCCCTGAGGCGCAGGGAGAGGCTCCCCGTGGGCTCAGCATATGAAAACACAGGCGAGACCCCGATGGAGTGTGAGCCCCGCCATCTCCCCACGGCCTCCCCGCTGCCTCCCTCGCCTGTCCGGAGCCGCCTGTGCGTGTGCTGTTTTCTTCTTAGCCACATTACTCATAAGAGACCATCCTTGGAACATGTGCTTTATTATGTTACAAAAACAAAAATTCCCACCAAAACAGCTAAAAAAATAACACATTTCCCCAAAATGACATTACTCAAAAAAGTCAATGATACCATTGGAGTACATCCATTAACACTGCTTGAAGAAGTGTTGCATTACATTAAAAACATGGGTGGTGTATTTTTTCAAACCTTAAAGCATTCAAGTGCTTTAAAGGGATCGTAACCGAGAAGCAGCAGATGTTTGTGTGACCTGTTCTAAGGGACAAGTTACACTACATCCCAGATCTGTGCATGTCGCTTGTCAGGGACCTGGGCCACTGATCGGCAGTGTGGGGACCCAGCTGAGGCCGGTTAGAGTGGCGGGGACTCCCCTGAGGGCTGGCTAGCTGCAAGTGTCTTGCCGAAACCTTGGCTGGGCTCTGTGGGCAGTGACACGTGTCTGGCTCTCAGCAGGCGTCCTCAAGGCCCACCAGGCAGCTCCCCTCCTGCCCCTTCACCCCTGGGGAACCTCACAGCGTAAAGGGTGCTTACTTTTATCTGTTCGAGTTTTGTAGGACGAGAGCTTCAAACCCTGAGGATTGTTGTTTCTGTTCATTTGTATTTTCTCGCCCTGAGAGTTTCTGCTCCATTTAATTGTTACAGCTTGCTCTCTACAATGGCAGTCCTCCGTCAGTGATGGGACACTGCTTTGTGTGGCTCTGCGGAGCCTGTGCAGCCCGGGGCCCGCGGGGCGGACCTTGCCCTCCATGTTTGGTGGGGCTCCCTCTCCCACTAACTCTTGCCAGAGCACCAGGTGGGGCCCCTGTGGCATTCCCTACCAGCCGCGGGGCTGACAGGAACATGCCCAGGAAACAAAGCCACTTGAGACCCCGGAACTCAGCTGGGCTTGTGGACGCCAGGGGTCAGCTTGCCCTGTCCACAGGAGCCCTGAGTCTGAGGCTGTGACTGCAACTTTCGGGCGTGGTGTGTGTTCTGGGGAGATAGTTGACCCCCCAGGAGTGGAGCACCTCTGGCTAATCGGCAAAGCCTGGCGCCTGCTGGAATGAGCTGCTTCTGTTGCCCCAAGGCTCTCAGCTCTGGCTGCAGGTCAGAGCCTCCAGGCACAGCCCTGAAATGTGGTGCCCAGTAGCGCACATGGAGGGGGACAGTGGGTACACTATCCTAAACCCAGGTACCTGCGTCAGCACAAAATGCTGCTTTTAAACAAGTGGAGGCTGGCAATGTTTATGCTCACGACTTCCCGTGATGAAGTCCTGGTCTGGAGACGACCCTGACAGCGCGTTTGGGGGCAGAGGTGGCTCTGCCTTTGTTCAGTCCAGTCAGGACAGCTCCGAGCTGCCGGAGGGCTCCCTTCCCCTGCGGCTCTCTGAGCCATTTTAATACCATCCCCACCCCCACTCCCACTCCTCACAGCAGCCATCTCGAGCCTGGACATCTAACAAGGAGACGGGCCTCTGAATGCCCAGTCGTCCTTGAACGTGGAGAGGCCTGTGTTGTGTGAGATCTGCTGCTCAGAACACAGCTGGAAGCCCTCCCTAGCTTCCCAGACAGAAGGATGGTTTTCAGCAACACCAACAAACCCAAAGGGTGGGTGATCAGGGCCCCCGGGCCTGGGGGCCTCATGTCTTTCTGTGGTGACATTAGTGAGAGGCGCGCCCAGACTTGGAGTAACCCACAGGTAACCAGGCAGATGGACCAGGAATCGGCCCGGTGGCCTGCACCCAGGGCGGTGTCTCAGGTTGCCCACTAGCCAAGACTCCCTCTGTCCCACCTGCCTAGAGCGAGGGTGCTTCATCACCCACCACCCACATTCTCCGTGCTCTTCTCTTTCCTGGGCTCAAAATGGACCCATGGAGGGGGGTGGGGGAGCACGCAGAAGTGTGTGCCAAGCCCACTGACTCCTTGGGGTGCCTCTCCACCTGCCTCAGTGCTGTCTCAAGGCGACAGGAGGGCCTCTCCCAGCACAGAGCCCACCTCTGAGCCTGAGGAGTGGACCTTCTGCCCGCTGCTCCCTCTACCAGAGGGGCTCTCCCCGTGACCCCTACCCCCAACTTGCAAGGTCGCCAAGGGGACAGAGGGCCATCGTTCCCACCAGAGGACTTCCCCAGCCCAGCGCCCCCTCCCGCCGCAGCCGCTCACTCTGGGTTTCGCCCCATCCAGCCATCCAGGGACAAGTGCGGCCCCGCCTGGTTTGCCCCTCAGCCGCCTCTGCCCAGCTTTTAGCCACAGACCTGGGAAGCCTGCCAGGTTGAACCCTGAAGGGAATGTTAAGAATGAGTTAAAAAACAAAAAAGCTGACCCACCATGTAGAAAAGGATATCATTTTATCAAATATTGACATCTTCCAGTAGTCTGAGGTGCGTGCCTTCCATGCTTATGCTGAGAGGGTCACCTAGAGAGGTGGCTGCGGCTGGTGGCCACAGCCCTCGCCTCCCGGGAGGACCGTGCACTGGGCAGTGCCCTCCCAGCCCTCCGAGTCCAGTGGAGGTCCGGGGCTGGGTTGGGGCGGGCAGCGCGAGGGAGCTGCACTGGGGTTGGAACCAGCGGTCAAGTGTGCGAGGGACAGACTGACCCTCGAGGCCCAGCCTTGGACAGAGATGGGCTGCAGCTTTTACCTGAAAATAAATGTGTGTTAGCCACGGTCACTGAGCCGCTCACTGCTACCCAGATCCGGGAGACCTCGGAGAATACTTTGTGGCTGTCCATCAGGAGGGAGAGTCGTTCTTTTTATTTAAAAGGATCGTGTCCGGGAGCAGCAGCGTCCTGAAGGAAGAGAGGAGGCCGGTGGTTCCGGACGACAGCGCGCCTGCAGCGCAGCTCCAGGGGTCCCTACCTGCCAGGCCCACTGCCCTCCGGCGGCGCCGGGGCCGGTGAAGGCTGGACCTGGCCTTTCCGCGGGCACAGCCCAGGGTCCTGCCTCCCAGGGCAGTTTTTCTCAAAAAGGAAGAGAGAAGGAAGGCCAGGCTCCTGGGGCTCGCGGCCGCCGACGCGCAGGCTGCGCGCTCCACGGGTCCGGCGAGCGCCCCGGCCGCGTGCGCCCGCGCCCCCTCAGTTGGCCTCGCCCTCTGTGAACTCCTCCTTGATGGACTGTCTCCGGGACTTGCAGTCCGGGAGGTCGAAGCCGAAGTCCGCCCACTCGTCGGGCCCCGTGCCCCCCGCCCCGCCGGGGCCGCCGCGGTTGGGGATGGTGATGGTGTGACGCACGCGGAAGTGCACGGCCTCCATGACGCGCTGCCGCTGCAGCTCCCCGGAGCTGCCGATGGAGATGGTGGCGGCATTGCTGCTGGAGCGGATCAGCTGCTGTGCGCCGTAGTCGTGGCTCTGCTTCAGGTCCTGCAGGCCCCTCCAGATGGTCATCCGGTACTGGTCCGGGATCTTCAGGGCCCCGAGGTCCTGCAAGAGCCGGCACGTGTCCGTTAGAGGTGGAGCCACGCGCAGGCCCTGCCCCCGCCCCTCCCATCAGGGACCTCCGCCTGGGGGCCCACCCTGATGATGCGCAGCGCCCCCAGGACCAGGAGGGAGGCGAGGGATCCCCTTGACCAGGAGGCCACACTGCGTCCTGGAACTTGACAAGTGGGGGCAGTGCCTGAGCCATCTGGTGCAGATGGCCTGGCCACACCCCATTCTTGGGGCCTCAACAGAGGTGGCAGGAGAGCTAAAAGTGACCTGTGTGAGCTAGTGCACACACGTGTGTAGGAGTGAGGTCACTCTGGGGTGCCTGGGACCCCATCCACAGTCAGAGTGACAGATGGAGCCCCTCTACACCAGGCCCTGGAGGACCGCTGGGCCCCCAGCGTCTGCGTAGGGCCGCTCTGCTCCCTCTGCCCCTTGGGACCAGAGCTGATCACGGTGATCCTATCCCCCCAACACACACCAAGCACGCGCATCATGCTGGTGAGGTGAGGGTTAACACTGAGTGAGCCAGCTACCATCCCAGCTGCCAGTCACCAGGACATTAGTAGATGCTGACGTGGCCACCCTCCGAGCCACTGGCCCCAGTTCCCTCTGACAAAGCCGCATGTTTGGCCCTCCAGCAAGTTCAGCCCTTCATAGTTTAGGAGAAACGCTGTTGGTGGCATTCTTGTTTGACCCAAGGTCTGTGTGATGCTTCCAGCCCCCCCCGCCCAACACACACACACACACAGCAGACCCAGGGCGTTGCAAGTAGTGCGTCCTGCCTTTGGGCCTGCTTTTCTCCCCATGTCAAGGACGTTGATCTAGACCAGTTCCAAGGCCCCTTGGCCTTTGCCTTCGGCAATTCTTTGTGCCTTGGAAACAGCCTGTCCCCCGGGTGCCAGAGAAATAGGCACGAGAGAAAACTCTCAGGTCCACATGGCCGGTCCAGCTGCTGGAGGCCCAGGGAGCGTCCGCCCAACCCGCCACCTGCACAGCTGGACTTGCCCAGACTCACGAGTGGATCTCATCACAGAAGCCAGAGGTGAGGATGCAGAGTGGGCTTGTGACGAAGGGCTTCCCAAATGTCACAGATTCCCCCCCAAACTTTGAGAACAATAAGCAGAGTGACCGCTGCAGAAAGACATGACAGGACCCTGTGCACTGGGCCTGTGGGCGTGGGGAGAGGACCGGGGGCTGTTACCTCTATCGTTAGGTTCTGCAGGTGATAAATGTTCTGTAAACCTTGGGAGGTGAAATACTCGACGCAGTTTGGACACCCCAGTCCTGTTAAAAAACTGCAGAGAGAATTCGCGAAATAAAATAGCATTTTCTTTCTTTTTTTTTTTTTTTTTTTTTAAAGTTTGTAGCAGAGAATAGTTTTATTAAAGCAAGAGAAAGGTTACAGCTCCCGAGCAGGAGCGGGTACCCGGAACTGAGATGCCCACAATAGCATTAACTTCTAAGGACTGGCTGTGTGGCCTGGCTGGGTGGGCACTGCTTCCTAAAGGGCGACTCCTGGCCACCCCTGCCCACATGGCCACGGCGTCACGGACATGCTCTCCCAGAGCACAGGCTCCAAGGAACCCCTGGCTTTGGGGCTCCCCGCCCCCAGCAGCACCTGTTGGATACCCCCAGTCAAGATTTTCTCTGCCCCTGTCAGTTCTCCTGATGGCAGAGCGGCTGAGGCGCATGGACAGGTGGGACAGTGTACAGACACTACCTCCGGGCTGGGGACACTCGACCGGGGCCAAGGTTAGTGGGTTAATGGCAGGGCTCAGCAGTGGCCCACGTACCTGACCAGGCTGGGGTCAGCGTGGTAGGGAGGAGGTGGGGTACAGTGGGACCCCGAGACCATGGACTGGGAGCTGTGGCTGCTGCTCATCTCGCCGTTGGCCGACAGGGTGTGGCCGTGGTTGTTGAGTATCCCGGGGCCTGGCAAGAGGCAGGTCACACTGTCAGAGGCGCACGCAGCCCTCCCCGAGGTCAGGAAGGGACAGAGGGGTCCGTCTGTGGCCCTGCCTCCTGCCAGCGCGCCAGAGCTGCTGAAGGGAGGCAGCTGTCGAGAGTCCCATTGTGGGTTCTGAGCTGGGCAGAAGTGTCTGGAGCCAGGCCCACCCTTTGGGCCTCCCCAACCCCCCTGGGTCCCCAGTGCCTGAGACTCACCCATGGGCCCCAGGTTGGGCCCAGCCGCTGAGCTGTGCGGGGCAGGCTGGCCCACCAACTGATGGACCGAGGGCAGCTTGTTGACGCCCCCGTGCCCTTTGTTCATGGGCGAGAGGACCGGCCCATAGGATGGAGGCTGCAGGGGGCTCCTGCTCGGAAAGTGACAACTCGTGTTGGGAAGAGCACAGGTGGCTTCTACCCCATCAGGTCACCTCCACATAGTGCCCCTGCCGCAGGCAGAGGGCGACCCCAAGCTGAGGGTCTGAAAGCGCCTCCCTCCTCACCCAGCCTCCCTGCCCTTGACAAGGCCACTGGCCTGCTGTCAGCAGGACCCCGGCTGTGAGTGGAGGGAGGTGGGGGCGGCTCACGCCCTCAGTATTGGTGGGTTGGCATCACTCCGACCACCCACTCCTTGCCCTCCACTCAGCAGACATTTAGAGGGACCCCTTGTGGGACAGAAATGCATAGTGATGGCCGTGACCCCTGCGGTTTAGGAAGGCTTCCCGTGAGGGGACGCCAGCAGGGCCTAGCTGCCTGTCCTGGAGGCCATGTGTTCAGGAGGGACGTTGGGTGCCGCCCACCTCTTTTTTAAGGCGGGAGGGGCTGCACTCACGGCCTCTGCAGGAGCTGCTGCTGCTGCTGCCGGTAGGACTCCACCACCTGCTGTGGCACCTGCTCCATCAGCTCCAGACCCTCCTTGACCTTCATCAGGATCTCAAAGTTCTCCCGGCCCCGCACCTGAGCACAGTGAGGCCGGCCCTGTGCCCAGGTGCATGTGGGACCCCTCCCGGCCCACACCCCTGGCTGGGAGCTCTGTGCGTTCCCCGGCACCCCATAGGCTGAGGGGGCCCCTTTGTTCTCCTTCCCAGGAGCAGGTGGCCGTGTCCCCTGTCCACACAAGCCACGCGCACCCCTTCCTGCCCTGAGCCTTCACCCTGCGTCGCCTCCCCCTCCCCAGCAGGAACCAACAAATATGGGGCCTGAGAACAAGGGACTCGTCCTTAACTCAAAAAATGAAAAGCTCATATACGGGAAGACCAGTCCCAGCCAAGCCCATGGTGATTTTCTCCACCAGCTGGCATGGTCACACCACGTGACAGTCCTGTAAACTTGAGTGACAGTGATGCGGGCTGCCAGACTCTAAAACTATGGGGCTCCTAATGCTGGTTCTCCGCCCCCGTGGGGTCTCCATCATCCCACGCACTGTACCCGCTCCTGGGGCCACATCATTCAGAGCTGCGCCCTGGCACACCTGATCTTCCCTGTGGTCTGGCCCCGTCTGGTCTGGCTCTCCCTTGGTGGACCTGCCACCTGCAGAGCCCAGGGTCACGATCCTCAGGGTGTGACAAGCCACCCCTGCTCGCGCCTGCTGCCCCCGGGCCTCCTCACTGGCTGCCCCCGCCCAGACTCCGCAGACACGGGACACTCACGTGCATGTAGTACATGTCCTCGTCCCCGTGCCGTCTCTTCTTCACGTTGGCGCCCAGAGTAGGGATGGCGGTAGGGCTCTGCTTGAAGGCTGGAAGGCGAGGGGTGGAGGTTTTGTGAGCGGCGGGGAGGAGGGGGGCCAACGCAGGTGAGGCCCACGGGACGCCCGCCACGCCGTGCGAGCCGGCCTTCGTCTGGAGACCAGTAGCCCCCTTGGACATGCAAGCCTATCGCTGCTGCCCATGCTGGGTGGATCTGGACCCAGGGGTGGCCATGTGGACGGGGCTGGCTCTGGGCCCTGGACACAGGCTCGCCATGCGCCCTGCCGGCATTTCGCCTAAGTCCCCGAGGCAGCTCTGCCTCCATCCTGCGGGGCGGCCCTGCTCACCGCGCTTGCTGGCGGCCCCATGCTTGGTGGCGTTCTCGTTCAGGACCTGTTGCTCCCGGTAGTGGTCCTCATCAGCTTTGCGGTCTCGGCCCGGACAGGCACAGATGCGACCCTCGAAGGACCGGCGGCCCAGCACCTGTCCGCTGTCAGGGGCACAGCCGGCACCATGAGCTTCGGGTCCCCCGAGCCCTGCCTGCCTTTCCCACCCACCTCAGGCTGTAATGGGCCACCGGGTCAGGCCTGAGTGCCAGCTGCTCTGGGACCCCAGGTCCCTCCCAGCAGCCCCCGCAGCCAGGGGAGGTCCCACCCTCTCAGCGGCACCCCGGCAGACTCCCCCGGGGCCGCACCACTCCTGGCCCTTGGCGTGTCTCCACGCCAGGCCCCCGGCAGCACAGGCCCGCGTCCCTGCTCCCCACCCCACGTGCTGCGACTCACTCCCGGGTCTCCAGCGTGATGATGATGAGGATGGGCCGGCGGTTCATGCCCCCCACACAGCTGCTGTTGCACATGAAGTTGTACAGGATGGTGGTGAACTCCGTCCCCACCTACACAGGGGAGGTGGGCGAGGGCTGTGGTGTCAGCACACAGGCCCACCCACTAAGGTGCGGGCTCCTGGCCTTCGAAGCACCCGTCCCTCAGGTCTGGTCCTGGCTCTGGGTAGGCTTGGGGGCTGGGCCATTCCCTGTGGTCCTCTGTCATCTACCCACCCACCATCCAGCCATCCATCCATCCTCCATCCCCCCATCTCCCCGTGCACCTATCCATCCATGCAGCACACTGAGTGTCAAGTGCAGTGCAGGTTTTGGGTACCAAGTAAACTCAGACCTGGCCTCTGCTCCTGGGTGGAATAGAGTGCTGTGGTCTGGTGGCCTTGACCGTCTCCCCTGACACAGGTTGGACATCAAGCCCTGGAGACTGGGTGTGAGTGGGCATGTGCCAGGCTTCTGTGGGCACAGGTGTGTGCTTGCCCACTGTGGGCTCTCCTGGGCAGCAGGGTGCCCTGCACTGCCCTGGCAGAGGGAGGGACCAGAGCAGTTCAAGTGGACCCCAAGCCTAGCACGCACTCATTTCCCAGGGTGCTGAGACGTGAGCCAGGACCCTTGACCACGTGGGACCACAAAATGGACGTTTGTCATGGCCTCCCTGGGTCAGGGTATGAAAGTCAATCACTGGCTTAGGAAAACCTAGCCTTTCACAAAACCGTTGGCACGTGGCAGCCACCAGGGGGCGGCAGAGCGCAGCTTTCCTGGTCAGGCTTGGCACCGGGAAGGGTGGGCGGGCAGGGTGGTCACACCCCACCTCGGACCTTGGTCCCACTGACATAAAGGCTGTTCTTAGGCCCAGGGGAGCCTGGGGGGTGAGGTATAGGGCTGGAGGCCTGGGGGACCAGGTACAGCTTTGGGGGTCTAGATGATGCTTTCCGAACCAGGTAGAGTAAAGGTCGCCTACCCACCCTGGAGAGCATGGCTACAGGGCCCAGAGCTGGGACCCACTGTCCACCTCCTGTGCTGTCCCCCCATCCCACCAATGCCCCTTGGTCCCTGCACCCTCACTTCTGTCCGCTCTCAGCTCTTCACCCCAGCTAGGCTCCCCCATCAGCCCCTGAGTGGCACTCTCAGAACCTCTGCCTTCAGGTCAAGGTCAGACCCCTCGGGGTCTGTCCACCCCTGTCCACTTCTTGCAGCGCCCCCTGCACGTCCAGCCTTCACCCCTCACCTCCAGGCCCTGCATGTGCCCCTGACCATGGGTCTCCCCTCCTCCCCTCCCCGCCTCGCCCTCCCTCCGTCCCACAGGCTCCGTCCTCCAGGCCTCGGCCCCTCCGTCCTCGAGTCCCGAGGGGGAATGGACAGGCGGGAAGAGAGGACAGATGAGGGCTGAACTCAGAGGTGGTCGGCCCCACCCCACTATAGATGGGGGGCCAGTGCCCAGAGAGGGCCCACGGGCAAGGTGGAGGCAGGGGTGGGGCCTTGAGGGAGAGGGCGGAGCTCCATGGCACAGACTTAACTCGGGGATAAGACATAGATAAGTGAGCTGACCGAGGCGACACGAGGGTCTCTGCTTGGGAGCCCCGCCCTAAGACTGGCTGAGTGCCCAGCCCCACCTGGCCCAGCCTACCTGCGGAGGCTCGTAGGGAACCATGACGCTCTGCCTGCCAGTGACCGGGTCATCCACATACTGTGAAAGGTTGTTGCCCTCCACACGGATGAGGTGGCTGGCCGGGGCAGACTGTCCTGCCGGGAGGGGACGCTGCTTCAGACAGGTGCCCAGCCTGGGGCCCACCACCCTGGTGCCAGGGGCATCACTGCAGATTCGGGACCACAAGGCAGGGCCCCTTGGGCCTAGCAGGTTGGACTCAGGCCGGCAGCCTTGGTGCCTTTGGGGTGCTTGGCCCAACAGCCCTGCCCTGCCCTGCCCTGCTGTGGGCACCCATGCCTAAGGCCCCAGGTGGCGCTGGGAGGAATTCGGGGGGGAGCTGGGCCCACACCGCCAGCCTCTCCCACCAGCCCCGGCTGTCTCCCAGGCCCCTGGGCACAGGCGCTGGGGCTCACCTTCGTTGAAGTCCCGCCCAAGCTCGTGATTGGGGCAGCGCTTGACGACCTCTGTCACGTGCTCTGCCTTCTTGTACACTGGCATGGCACGGATGGCGGTGCCCGCGGGCGGCGGGGTGGACACCTTGATCTGGATGGGGCACGTCTTGGCGATTTGGCAGTACAGTTTCTTCAACAGCGGGGAGTACTGGAGGGGAGGGGGCTGGGATGAGGCCGCAGTCCCAGCTCCACCCTGTGGGGAGCGCCTGGCTGTCCACTGCAGTCAGGGCTCCCTTCCCCAGCTCTGGGATGGCCGCCGGCCCTCGCAGCAGCCAGATGGCTGGTTTGGGCACAGTGAGAGCAGCTGCTCTGGTGCCCGCTGCAGCCAGGCCTGGGCGCCGTCTGTGTGGGTTTCACCAGCTGCAGAGGTTGGTACCATGATGTTCACTTTTGGGATGAGGACAGTAAAGGCAAGGAAATCGGGAGGGAACTGCTGGACGCGGGGAGGGGAGGCTCGGAGCCAGAGCCGCCTGCATCCAGGCTGGCTTTTCCCACGGTGAAGCTTATCCCCTAGACCTCAGGGGTTTGACGTGGGGGTTCGCATCATGGAGTCTCAGGTTTTCAGAGCCCGGGGTTAGGCTTTTCTGACATTTGTGCAGAGGAAACGTGTACTTTTCGGATGGACCCGGTGTCCCTGTGCACCTGAGCTCCGGGAGGGAGCCGTTGGAGCACGGAGTGGGTGGGGCCGATGGCTGCGGCCTGGTTTTGGCCACTGGGGTGGGTGGGCAGGCTCTGACCATGAAGCCCCAGGACCCCCGGCCCAGGAGCCGGCCTCAGGGAGGATCGGGTGATGCCCTTCCTGGCCCAGCAGGCAGCGCCTAGGGGTCCAGGTCACCCACTTGAGGACCCAGGCCGGCTCTCATGAATTCACAGATAATGCTGCTGGTGCCCACAGGGCACCACGCTCATTTCCAGGTTGGCTGATCCCCAGCGACCAGCTTCTGGGGACCAATCCAAGGCTCCTCATGCTCCTTTCCCCCATGAGACGGGGGCGGAGGGGGAACATTCCAGGTCTGAGATTCACAGGATACATTCTGTCCCCACCCTACACCCCCTGTGCCCCCATAAGCCCCCAGTGACTCAGAGTTACCCCAGCCACAAGGCCCTGGAGAGCCCGATCACACCTCACCGTGGTACCGTTGGGGGTCAGGCCAGAAACAGGGAGCTGCTGGCAGAACCAGGAAGGAGCTGGTCCCAGCCCACCTTTGCCAAGGAAGCGGGGGGCCTGGCACCCTGAACTGACCCCAAAGCGTAAGGCCCCCGCTGGCTACCAGTGCTGTCTGTCTGGCCATCGAGGGGAAGTGGGCCCTCAGGGCCTCATGCAAGTCCAAGTACAGGAAAAGCAAGGGAGGTGGAGACAAGGAGAGATGGCGCTCACCCTGCGCCCAGGAGCAAGGGGTCCCCAGTGCCCTCGGCCCCACGCAGTGTGAGCCATCCCTCCCTGTCCAAAATATCAACCTTTCCGTGGAGTGGGGTTCTAGGGGGCATGGTGACAAGTGGGCTGGGTCACCGCCCTCCAGGGATTGGGACTCTGCTCGACTTCCCTCTGCACTGACTTCAGGATGAGCCCCGCCCTCCTCCCATCACGACGGGAGTGAGACGCCCCCGGGGCTTGCCCCCTCCCTGAGGCTCTGTCCCCTGAGGTCCCTGGAGCCCAGGGCAGCTCACCACCCTGTGCCTGGGATGGTGTCCCGGGAGTGCAGTGCCCTGGGCTGGGGAGGGGGCATGCAGACCCTCAGAGAGGCCGCGGATGGGGAGGCGCAGGCGCCGAATGGGGCCCCCCTCCCGGCTGACCCCTCACAGGACCCCATTAGTTCTCTGACCTTGCGCTGCCCATGACCTGAGATGGGTCATTAGGCCCACCAAGGCGGGGCCCAGGTGGGCTAGAGCGGGTGGGCAGAAGTGACGGGGGTCTAGGGCCGGCCACATTCCCCGGGCAGCCCCAACACAGCTCCCTAGGGAGGGCCCCCGGGAGGGGGGCCCCTTGGCCCATCAGCCGAGCGCCTACAGGGATGGAGCTGAGCCGAGGTGCCTGTTGCAGCCCCCCTGCAGCCCCCCGATAGCCCCTGGGGTCCGAATAGTGGGGGCGCTGCTGCAGAGCCTTTCCAGCCCCGCTGGCGGCCTCCTCCCAAGCCCAGGTCTCACTTCGCCGGCAGAGGCGGCAGCTCCGGCGGACAGAGGGATGGGACTCAGGGCAGCTCTCCGCCGAGCCCAGGCCGGGACGGTGCACGAGTCCCCCTGAAGCCCAGGCAGGGTGGGGGGCCCAGCGGTGCCTGTGGGGTCTGGACTTCCCGCCCGAGGTCGCGGGCAAAGGTAGGAGCGGCTCCGGAGGCGACAAGCGGGGGCGCGCCGTGGTCGCCCCGCCCCGGGGAGGAGCCGCTGGGAGCTGTCCTTGGTACCGCGCGGCCGGCCGCGGCCCGCCCTCCCGGAGCTGGGCTGGCTGCGAGCGCCGAGCCGCCCAGGTGGGCAAGTCCTCACCTGGGCAAGCGGCGAACGGGCTCAGGCCCCAGGGTGGAGAGCGGGGGGCACCCCCCCGCGTGCTGGGCGAGGCCACCGCAGGCCTTGGGCCTGGTCCCGCTCCCCACAGTGGGTCCCAACCCGGTGCTGCCCCGGCTGTCTGCTCAGGTGCCCTCGGGCACACACACCTGCCGGCCCCCACCCCGGCAAGGGCCAAGTAGGGTGACACAGGAGGCATCAGGTGGTGACACAGGTGACTGTGGGGGAGGAGGGGAGCCTGGGATGGCCAAACCTGGGGTGAGTAGAGTGTGGCCTGTGGGGCAAAGGGCCCAGAGCGACAGGCCTGAGCCCAGGAAGAAGGTGTGAGCCCCCACGCCCGCCTCAGCTGCGTCCCCTCCTCCCAGAGCGCTGAGGAACCGGGCGGGGAGGAGGACTCCTGGGTCCTTGTCTGTTCTGTTGAAAAGGTCACGTGGAGACACTTCCTCTCTCCCAACCCCCCTCCCACCTCTCCTTCCCTAGAACCGCTAGATGGATGTGTTTCAACAGATTCTGAGCTGATAAAATCTTATTTATCTTCGGCTGTTGACACAGAGCCGTCTAGACTTGCCTGCCCCGGGATGCGTGTATTCCTTCGTGCTTACAGGAAATGGTTTGCCCGAGCGCTGGGGTATGCCCATCCCTGCCCTCCCCCACCAGGTTCCCTCCTGGGACCCCAGCCCCCAGTCCACGATGGCCCTGCCTGGCTGGGAGCCCCGGCCTGCAGGGCTGGCGGCGGTGCAGGGGGGGGGCATTGGGCAAGAGGGTGGTGGGCTCCTTGCAGAGGCTGTTAATTTCCTTGCGCCCACTCCCCAGCAGCTGGGTGCCCGGCACGGGCAGGTTTGGGCAGGAGGAGAGTGGAGAGGTGATAATAACTTGTCTGTCATTTTCCAGGGACGTGTAGCATCTTGCAAACCGCAAATACCGTTAACCAGCTTGGGCGACTCTGTTACAACAGATTCTGGAAGACGGGGCTGCGGTGGGGGCTTTTATTTTCTAAATGATTTTTTTAGAGCCCACTTTTATCAGCTTTCCATGTGTGTGCGCCTGTGTGTATGCGTGTTCAGAGCCACAGTTCTCTCCTCTCTTGGGTTAAGGCCCCTTGGAGGACCCCTGAGGCCAGAGCCCCGCACCCCAGTAGAGTTCCACAGAATCCTTGGCAAGAGGCTCTGTGGGTTCACAGAGAGACCCCCCCCCAAGACTCACAGGGAACTCAGGTAACCAGTCCCCAATGCCAGTCCCCCCAGTAAGGGACCCTTACCCTCCTTCCTGGTCAGGAGGGGCCTCCCGGGGTGACATAAGCCACTGGACACTCAGCTCCAGCCCCTCATGGGGCCTCCCACCCCCTCACTGCACAGTTTTATTGCCTCACTCTCGTGTCTTCACTCACGGGAGAGCTTCTGGGAGCATGGGGTGGGCTCTGACAGATGTAAGGGAGGCCTGGATGGGGTCACAGTGAAGCCAGCAGACTGGGGAGGAGGTGGGGGCGCCTGTGACAATCATCCCTGCATGCTTCACAGCACCCACAAAAGGCAGTGAGGGTCCACACGCACAAGGAAACCCAGGCAGCTCCCCAATTTGGCCACAGGCCTGGTGGCTGGAGGCTGCAGGGAACTCCTGGACGCCTGTGGGGCCAGTGCCCGGCCCGGCAGACATGCCGGATCAAAGAGGCTGCCGAGATCCCCGAGGAGCTCCGGGCCGGGAACAGGCACAGATGCATCGGCTGACACCCCCACGCAAGCTGACGGCCAGGGGACCCCTCACCAGGAGCCCAGAGGAGGATGAACAGGAAGTGGAAACACGCTTTGCAGGTGCCAAGTGACCCTGAGCACTGTCCGGGGGTGTCCCAGAGGTTATGCACAAGAAGCTGCCCATTCTGGAGAGGCGGGTCTGGGGATGGAGGACACCCCTCAGGAGCCGGGAAGCCTGCCCTGAGATGTCCTCCACCAGGTCCCCAACTAGTGAGTGGGAGCCCCCAGGACTCTCGTGGCCTGGTAACAGCGTGTCCCCGACCACGGGCCTTGGGTCTGCTCATCCCACATGTGGCTGCAGGCTGGACACCTCCAGGGGCTCAGTCCTGGGCTAAGACCTGGGTAGGGGACGTGGGCAGCAGGTGTGCACTGAGCTGACCCAGGAGAGAGGCAGCGGGCACCAGGGCTGTGGTGCAGAGTGAAGACCCAGCAGGCCAGCGGGTCAGGAGCTGGGCAACAGGAGACGGGCGGGCCCCGAGGAGCGGCCAGAGGGGCGAGCAGGATGTGCTCTGGGTCCTTGGGGACAGAGCTGGGCTTTCGGGAAGCTCAGAACTCCCACCAGCGGCCACCCTCCCACTCCAAGGGTGTCCGCCGCGCCACGCTCAGCCTCAGTCTGGTCCTAGTATAAGTCACTCTGCCCGTGAGCTTGGTTTCTGACTTTGCCAGCTGGAGACCCCACAGAGGTCACCTGGAGGAGGTGGCATCCCTGCCTAGAGTGGGCACCCGCTGGCTGGCCTATGGGCACGGACCCAACCAGCAGGGCTGTGGGCCAGGCCACAGAACGACCCAGCCCAGCTCTGCCCACAGCAGGGTGGACCCACTGGGAGAAGGAGCCCCCACTACCGTCGCCCCCACCTCACTTGTATCTTCTGAGTTGGCCTGGCCTTGTCAGCCATTGTGATGG